ACATTTCCGTCACACGCTTGAGGTATTCGGCCAATCACAACGCACTGGATAGCTGGCCAATCACAGCACACCTCGCTTTTCAGACCGATGAGCTTTGTAAAAATCGACGCGTTTCAGAAAGGTGGGGCATAGAGGAGAAACAATAATGTACAGTATGTGGAAAATAATGTGTTTTTGAACCTTAAACCTCATTACACCAAATACACCAAATACTGTTCTTTTTAGCAGCATCATATGACCCCTTTAAAAACAAAATCACATCTGGAATCGTCAGCTCCACCCAGAGAGGAAGTAGAGAACTGGGCCTGTCCAACTCCAATATTGACTACATCCAGACTGATGCTACCAAAGATGTAAGAGCACAGGAAATGACTTTGGAGAATTTGGATGTAATTGCATGTTATTGCTATATTTGTGTCATTACAGCTATATTAGTATGTTGCTTCATTTCATTTATCAAATAATTCATATATTGCATCACTCAATAGTTAATTTCTATTTTACAGTTTGGAAATTCAGGAGGTCCCCTTATAAACCTGGTGAGTCACTGACTGACATTTACACAACATACTGCTAGTACATTTTGGCTTTAGAAACAAGGAAGTTGAGGTGTTTAATTTTGCACATCAGATTTCATTTACAGCTCATTTGACTAATAACAGAAGTACAAATCTGTCTACCTGATCAATCTAATTGAGAACCTGATTGGTCAAGTTAGCATGATGTAATGCATGTGATACGAACTACCGTGTCATGTTTGTAACCTTCAGGATGGTGAGGTCATCGGCATTGATACCATGAAAGTGACTGCGGGGATTTCCTTCGCTATTCCCTCAGACAGAGTCCGCCTCTTCCTTGAGCGTGCAGCAGACAGAGTAAGAATGACCCTTGACCTCACAGCATCTCATCTTGTTAGTGACATCATTTGTATCGAGGTCGCTGATGGATGTGTATCGGCTGTTTTCAGAGTCCTGGTTTGGAGAATCAGGATCAAAACGGCGTTACATTGGAGTGATGATGCTGACTTTGACCCCCAGGTGCCAATCTGTGTTTTGATACCAGACCCTAAATGTGTGTGAGATGGTCACCGAGTATTTTTTAAATTTATTTTAAATGGTGTTTTTGCCTCTTCAGTATAATCGAAGTGCTGAAGACGCATGGCAGGTCCTTTCCTGATGTTTCTCATGGAGTTCTCATCCACCGTGTTATTATAGGATCTCCAGCCAATAGGTAAGCAGCACTGCTCTGACCCCACAGTGCTGTGGTTTGTTGATAGAGGCCTCCTATTGTTGATGTCATTTCCTGTTTTCTGTTTCACAGAGCTGGAATGAAACCTGGGGATGTTATTGTTGAGATAAACGGGTCAAAGGTGAACACGTCAGAGGAGATCTATAACGCTGTGAGAACAAGCGACAGCTTAAACGTGGTGGTCCGGCGGGGGGCCGACCTCCTCATTCTGCATATGACCCCTGAATACACGGAGTGATGCCACGTGAAGCTTAAGCATATAAGTAACAGAGTAAGAAATGGTTTGGCTGAGTGAGAAATGAGAAGCGAGAGATGATTTGAGAATGAATGTGAGAAATTATCATAGTTGGAGATGTTTAAGAAGGTAATCACGTAAAGGGCTGAACAGTATAGTATGAAGGCTGGAAACTCATGTAGTCGAAATGTTTTAATTGTGCAGTTTGTGCCCTTTTTTTTTTTTGGAAGTGTGTGAATTAGTGTGGATGATTTTGAGCATTACACTGGATAATTGTCAGTGTGTCCTCTCAAACTACACTGTATCAGTATTGTTTTTGAAGGAATACCACTAAATATTTGAGTTAAACAGTTTGTCTTGAGATGAATGAACATTTGGCTACCATAATAAAAGTGGGTGCTGTTATTCCAACATTGCAGGGTTTTTTTGTATTCAGTGTATTTTAATACATGTTTAAAACAGCTGTGACTTCACAATAAAACATTGGAATATCAACATTTTTGGATCATCATTATATAATCACAGTGCTTTCAGAAAACGTGACGAAGTACACTTTCATCTTAAAAATGAATATCATTTTGTTAATCCGCCCACATACTAGACTACATTATTTTTTCAGAAGTCGTCTGATTGCTGTTCTTTTCACGTTACACAACTGTCTGTCATAAGCGATGTCTGTTCCGGTCAAAACACATTTCAGACTGTAGCCTACAGGACTTGGACTGCAGACAAGTCTAGATATTTAAAGGGATAGCTGACCCAAATATGAAAATGTTGCCATCATTTACTCCCATCAAGTTGTTCCAAACCTGTAAAGAGTTTCTTTCTTCTGTTGAACAAAAAATAAGATATTTTGAAGAATGTTGGTTACCAAACAGTTGCCGGTAGCCTTTGACTTCCATAGGATTTTTTTTCCCCATACTATGGAAGTCAATGGCTACCAGCAACAACCACACATTATACTCATTTAGCCCTGATTTAGCGCTCGCCAACAGTTGAAGATCGCCGACAAAAGCCCAAAATTGGAGGCAAATCGTTACTTGTTTACACGAGTGACGAACAATATGTTTGAATTTTCAAATAATTCAGTTTGCTATGCAGTTGCTAGGGTGTTCTGGGTAGTTGCTATGCATTAGTGGAACAAAATAAGATTGAGACAAAAATATTTAAAAGGCACTGTATAGCTGTTTTGGCTTCTCCAGATTTTCATCTTTATGAGTGTTAAGCAGAGGCCTTTGTAATATAACTTGAGTCATGACTGATCATTTATTATGACCATTTATTTGTTTAATGGGTCATGAAACTTGAAATGATTTGTATTACAACTTTAAATAACACTTTATTTTCATCTTTAACAGTTTCACATGAAATGTTAATTTTACTGTAACTGAACACACAAATGCATAACTAGTTCAGTAAAAAGACAAATCTATGACAGCGTGTAAAAAACGTCACTGAAGCTTTAACAAGTCATACATGAAAGACCATTTGAAAGTAAAATAGGAGTTGAGTCAGAGCTTTGAAGCATAATATACATTCACACTTTGCAACAGCTTTTAAACACGAATGCTCATCTGGAGTACAAAACATTCAAGTACTTTTAACTCACAGAGACAGCAGCACACGGGCTGCGTGATGCATCAACAAGGCTTTTTAAACCTTTAAGAAAATAAGCACCTGATTGCACTGTAAACACATACGACAGGCAGTACAACTGCACAGCCTGACAAATGTTCATTTACATCTAATCCTCACACTACTTAAGCCAGACTCAGTGGCTAAGAGTGTTTTTTTTTTTGGGAGATCTTTTTTTATAAAAAATTACAGGTTATGTCAGTACAGTTATACTCTTGGCGTAAAAACATTGGATATTGTAGATTTTAGGATTTCTGTAATTGCAATGTGAGAAGTTACTTAGTTTATGGCTGGTTTGAATTAATAAATATTTTACTCTGGATTAACTGACATATTAGATTGTCCCAATTTGCTAATTATATCAATCTGGTGATAAGATTATGAGATCTGGTTGTTAAGTTGTCCAGGGTATTTCTCAAACTTCTTCTCAGCCTCCTCACTGAAAGCATCACCTGAAATAAAGACAAGAGCAAATAAATCTTTCAGTATTTGACACTGAATGGAAGCACTACCCTAATGTACTCTTACTGTTTCTGCAGTATATAATACGTAAATTGTGCATAAAATGTAATTTTTTTTCTGTATGCACAGAATTATTTACTACCTGGATTATTTACTATTTAACAGAGTATGGTACACACTTAAATGAACTGGAATTAATATCAGCTAATATCATCTTTTTTCTTGAATCATTATTTGTTCAGACTGCCAAGAAAGTTTGTGGAAAAACAGGATTAAATGTAAAATGAGTTTTTAATTCCAAGATGATTTATTTAATTGCAGCATGCAATGTCCCCGCACCATGTCAGATCATGTGACTAGAATGTAACTTACTACTGTTTATGGTTGCATAATTCTGTTTTCTTACAGTATGTATTCCATTCCGAACATAGACATTCTCTAACTATTTTCACCCAAAAATGAACACTTACTGAAAATGTATTCACCCTCAAGCCAACCAAGGTGTAGATGAGTTTATTTCTATATCAGAACAGATTTGGAGAAATTTAGCACTACATCACTTGCTCACCAGTGGATCCTCTGCAGTGAATGGGTGCCGTCAGAACGAGAGTCCAAACAGCTGATAGAAACATCACAATAATCCACACGACTCCAGTCAATCAATTAATGTCTTGTGAATTAAAAGGTTGCACGTTTGTAAGAAACAAATCCATCATTAAGGCATTTTAACTTTAAACCATTGATTCTGGCCAAATAATAAGTCCATGATACATAATGACATGTTCTCCAGGGGGAAAAGTCCATTCCCTGTTGTCATCTCACATCAAAATTCACCGACATATTTGTTTAGAACAGTTTTGGTCTGTTTTCGCTTGTAAATGATACGTGATCTGTGCATATTTACTCTCCTGATTCAGAAGAGACAACTTTTTCACTGGAGAAAGCAGTATTATGCATAGAGGACTCAGTATTTTAGCTGGAAGCAATGTTTTGAAGTTTAAAACGACTTGATGAATTTGTTTATTACTAAAAAGTGGCTTTTCAATTCAATGACTGGAGTCGTGGATTATTTGTGGATTATTGTGATGTTTTTATCAGCTGTTTGAACTCTCATTCTGACGGCACCCATTCACTGCAGTGGATCCACTGGTGAGCAAGTGATGTAATAATACATTTCTACATCTCGGAAGGCCTGAGAGTTCAGGAAATTTTCATTTTTGGGTTAACTATTTCTTTAAAGCTTTGTATTCATGTCTCACCAATATGGCAGTTATGGACCCAGATCCTGTGGCCATCATATTTGCAGTTACATTTCATGGCATTGTTTGTGAAGTCACTCTCGGCAACCTCATAGTTAGGATTTATCACAACCTGGAAAAGAAGCAAAAACAAGTCTAAATCCTCTTAAATCAATAGAATACATGTTTTTGGTGACTGGGGACAATCGTCTGCACCCATTCTCGGACCTGAAGGATATAATTTCCTGGTTTGACATCAGTAATATCGATCCACTGGCAATCAATGTCATGGCGATACAAATCCCAGCATCCCACTGTGATGCCCTGCTCACCAAAGTTAGCACACTCATATCTCTTGGAAACACCTAGAATAAACACAGATATTTACACAAGTGAAAATATGTCCTACTGAACAGAACTGACTGTAAATGTGTATTTGGATGAGTGATTTACCTTCATCACAATCTGTGTCCTCCAGGCAGAAGCTGGCTTTGTGTCCTTCTGCCACTTTAGTGCCATTGGCAGACATCAGGTCATAGTGTGTGAAGATGTCCATACTATGATAATGCCTGTGGAATCACACACACATAAATCATCTGCTTGTCTAAAAACTGGTCAGAAATAATACGATTATGTTGCGGGTCCCATTTGACCTACATTCGATTTTTTTAAACCGCTTGAAACGCTGGTTGAACAATTTATTGTTGTTAATTTACAATTTATCTTCTTGAAATTTTTTGATTTTTTTCTCATTTAGGGTCATGAATGTGTATGCAAATTTGCAACACGTAGACATGTTTTGGAAAGACTATACAAATTTACAGTGGTTACATTGATTGTGTAGGAGTAAAGATTACTCCCAATTGGTTTCCATGCAAGTCACAAAAAATCAACACTGAAAGCAAAAGAGTCAGGCAAAAAAGAGACACAATTTTGAGTCAACCCATATGAAAATTAACCATGATTGTATTGTAGTAAAAGTGTAACCATGTTTTTTTTATTTTTACTACAAATACTATGGTTAAACAACTATGGTTAATTTGTGCTTACCATGGTTTAACTATAGTAACCATGTTTTTTTGGTTTTATTTGTGGTAAAACCATGGTTCATTTTCGTAGGGGAAACTGGCCTCTAAAACAAAGGTAGGAACTATTTTTGTAACACAATAGGAGTTCATATTTTCTTATATTTTATATTTTTTTAGTCTCTGACAAGCTACAATAGAGGTTTTCTGATTTTTACATTAATCTTTGTTTTTTTCTTAGTTTTGATTTTTGGTGAACTGCATGAAAACCAGTGGGCTCAATTTGACCAGCAACACAAAAAGTGTACCCAGATTTTCAACACAACACAGGAATAAAAAAATGATTTAATAACAGTATGGTTACCCGTGACATGCGTGCCAGACCCATGAGTGACGGCCTGCTTTGGGCCTGAAGTCAGCCCGTCCGATGTTGTGTATCTGTGAGGAGAAGCGGAGCAGGCGGCGATGACCGTAAGGCCAGTTAGCTTTAGCGGCGCTCTTGGACAGACAGTCCTCCTCTGCTGCACAGTACAGCATGTGTAACGGCCGGTCCTCTATATACGTCGTCTGCTGCACTAGCGGTGCATTCAGCACTAGATCAGATGCAGCTGGGGGAAGAAAAATGTACATATTAAGATGCCAAATGAAAGTTCAAAGAAAAAATATAGTCTTGGCCCTGGAATTTGATTTATATTTTTGTTTCTATTTTGACATTGCATGTTGGTCACTGAACTGGATGTCTGAGGTTTTAATGTCTGAACAAACAGTTTTGCTCAACGTACAACAGTTGAGAAAATGATATGTTGTCTCATTTGTATACATAATCCAGACAGGTGTAAGTCATTTGAAGTCAAGCCTTTGCCATGTGAGGTTCACTAATTACAGGCCAGTTCTCAGAAAAAGATAAACAGCAGACTGACCACAGCTCTAGATCTACCATCAGCAGCAGACTGACCGTCTGAGAGGTGAGAATTCCAGTCATCATAAAAGTAATATGAATAACTTTCGCAAAACTCTTATACTGTTTCAGGGCCTGAATTTTGTTTTGGAAAATGGGGGGGAGGGTATTTTTTTAGACATATTTTTAAACTACCATAATTCAACCTAAATGCCTAAATCACCCAGTGTATTTGTGAATAATGTTGTTGATTCATATTTCTATTGTGAGGAAGATACTTAAAAAGAACACAAGTAAAGAGTCAGTAATAAAATAAGAATAGATAAATGACAAGCAATGATGTTCATTTACATCTAATCCTCACACTACTTAAGCCAGACTCAGTGGCTAAGAGTGTTTTTTTTTTTTGGGAGATCTTTTTTTATAAAAAATTACAGGTTATGTCAGTACAGTTATACTCTTGGCGTAAAAACATTGGATATTGTAGATTTTAGGATTTCTGTAATTGCAATGTGAGAAGTTACTTAGTTTATGGCTGGTTTGAATTAATAAATATTTTACTCTGGATTAACTGACATATTAGATTGTCCCAATTTGCTAATTATATCAATCTGGTGATAAGATTATGAGATCTGGTTGTTAAGTTGTCCAGGGTATTTCTCAAACTTCTTCTCAGCCTCCTCACTGAAAGCATCACCTGAAATAAAGACAAGAGCAAATAAATCTTTCAGTATTTGACACTGAATGGAAGCACTACCCTAATGTACTCTTACTGTTTCTGCAGTATATAATACGTAAATTGTGCATAAAATGTAATTTTTTTTCTGTATGCACAGAATTATTTACTACCTGGATTATTTACTATTTAACAGAGTATGGTACACACTTAAATGAACTGGAATTAATATCAGCTAATATCATCTTTTTTCTTGAATCATTATTTGTTCAGACTGCCAAGAAAGTTTGTGGAAAAACAGGATTAAATGTAAAATGAGTTTTTAATTCCAAGATGATTTATTTAATTGCAGCATGCAATGTCCCCGCACCATGTCAGATCATGTGACTAGAATGTAACTTACTACTGTTTATGGTTGCATAATTCTGTTTTCTTACAGTATGTATTCCATTCCGAACATAGACATTCTCTAACTATTTTCACCCAAAAATGAACACTTACTGAAAATGTATTCACCCTCAAGCCAACCAAGGTGTAGATGAGTTTATTTCTATATCAGAACAGATTTGGAGAAATTTAGCACTACATCACTTGCTCACCAGTGGATCCTCTGCAGTGAATGGGTGCCGTCAGAACGAGAGTCCAAACAGCTGATAGAAACATCACAATAATCCACACGACTCCAGTCAATCAATTAATGTCTTGTGAATTAAAAGGTTGCACGTTTGTAAGAAACAAATCCATCATTAAGGCATTTTAACTTTAAACCATTGATTCTGGCCAAATAATAAGTCCATGATACATAATGACATGTTCTCCAGGGGGAAAAGTCCATTCCCTGTTGTCATCTCACATCAAAATTCACCGACATATTTGTTTAGAACAGTTTTGGTCTGTTTTCGCTTGTAAATGATACGTGATCTGTGCATATTTACTCTCCTGATTCAGAAGAGACAACTTTTTCACTGGAGAAAGCAGTATTATGCATAGAGGACTCAGTATTTTAGCTGGAAGCAATGTTTTGAAGTTTAAAACGACTTGATGAATTTGTTTATTACTAAAAAGTGGCTTTTCAATTCAATGACTGGAGTCGTGGATTATTTGTGGATTATTGTGATGTTTTTATCAGCTGTTTGAACTCTCATTCTGACGGCACCCATTCACTGCAGTGGATCCACTGGTGAGCAAGTGATGTAATAATACATTTCTACATCTCGGAAGGCCTGAGAGTTCAGGAAATTTTCATTTTTGGGTTAACTATTTCTTTAAAGCTTTGTATTCATGTCTCACCAATATGGCAGTTATGGACCCAGATCCTGTGGCCATCATATTTGCAGTTACATTTCATGGCATTGTTTGTGAAGTCACTCTCGGCAACCTCATAGTTAGGATTTATCACAACCTGGAAAAGAAGCAAAAACAAGTCTAAATCCTCTTAAATCAATAGAATACATGTTTTTGGTGACTGGGGACAATCGTCTGCACCCATTCTCGGACCTGAAGGATATAATTTCCTGGTTTGACATCAGTAATATCGATCCACTGGCAATCAATGTCATGGCGATACAAATCCCAGCATCCCACTGTGATGCCCTGCTCACCAAAGTTAGCACACTCATATCTCTTGGAAACACCTAGAATAAACACAGATATTTACACAAGTGAAAATATGTCCTACTGAACAGAACTGACTGTAAATGTGTATTTGGATGAGTGATTTACCTTCATCACAATCTGTGTCCTCCAGGCAGAAGCTGGCTTTGTGTCCTTCTGCCACTTTAGTGCCATTGGCAGACATCAGGTCATAGTGTGTGAAGATGTCCATACTATGATAATGCCTGTGGAATCACACACACATAAATCATCTGCTTGTCTAAAAACTGGTCAGAAATAATACGATTATGTTGCGGGTCCCATTTGACCTACATTCGATTTTTTTAAACCGCTTGAAACGCTGGTTGAACAATTTATTGTTGTTAATTTACAATTTATCTTCTTGAAATTTTTAGATTTTTTTCTCATTTAGGGTCATGAATGTGTATGCAAATTTGCAACACGTAGACATGTTTTGGAAAGACTATACAAATTTACAGTGGTTACATTGATTGTGTAGGAGTAAAGATTACTCCCAATTGGTTTCCATGCAAGTCACAAAAAATCAACACTGAAAGCAAAAGAGTCAGGCAAAAAAGAGACACAATTTTGAGTCAACCCATATGAAAATTAACCATGATTGTATTGTAGTAAAAGTGTAACCATGTTTTTTTTATTTTTACTACAAATACTATGGTTAAACAACTATGGTTAATTTGTGCTTACCATGGTTTAACTATAGTAACCATGTTTTTTTGGTTTTATTTGTGGTAAAACCATGGTTCATTTTCGTAGGGGAAACTGGCCTCTAAAACAAAGGTAGGAACTATTTTTGTAACACAATAGGAGTTCATATTTTCTTATATTTTATATTTTTTTAGTCTCTGACAAGCTACAATAGAGGTTTTCTGATTTTTACATTAATCTTTGTTTTTTTCTTAGTTTTGATTTTTGGTGAACTGCATGAAAACCAGTGGGCTCAATTTGACCAGCAACACAAAAAGTGTACCCAGATTTTCAACACAACACAGGAATAAAAAAATGATTTAATAACAGTATGGTTACCCGTGACATGCGTGCCAGACCCATGAGTGACGGCCTGCTTTGGGCCTGAAGTCAGCCCGTCCGATGTTGTGTATCTGTGAGGAGAAGCGGAGCAGGCGGCGATGACCGTAAGGCCAGTTAGCTTTAGCGGCGCTCTTGGACAGACAGTCCTCCTCTGCTGCACAGTACAGCATGTGTAACGGCCGGTCCTCTATATACGTCGTCTGCTGCACTAGCGGTGCATTCAGCACTAGATCAGATGCAGCTGGGGGAAGAAAAATGTACATATTAAGATGCCAAATGAAAGTTCAAAGAAAAAATATAGTCTTGGCCCTGGAATTTGATTTATATTTTTGTTTCTATTTTGACATTGCATGTTGGTCACTGAACTGGATGTCTGAGGTTTTAATGTCTGAACAAACAGTTTTGCTCAACGTACAACAGTTGAGAAAATGATATGTTGTCTCATTTGTATACATAATCCAGACAGGTGTAAGTCATTTGAAGTCAAGCCTTTGCCATGTGAGGTTCACTAATTACAGGCCAGTTCTCAGAAAAAGATAAACAGCAGACTGACCACAGCTCTAGATCTACCATCAGCAGCAGACTGACCGTCTGAGAGGTGAGAATTCCAGTCATCATAAAAGTAATATGAATAACTTTCGCAAAACTCTTATACTGTTTCAGGGCCTGAATTTTGTTTTGGAAAATGGGGGGGAGGGTATTTTTTTAGACATATTTTTAAACTACCATAATTCAACCTAAATGCCTAAATCACCCAGTGTATTTGTGAATAATGTTGTTGATTCATATTTCTATTGTGAGGAAGATACTTAAAAAGAACACAAGTAAAGAGTCAGTAATAAAATAAGAATAGATAAGCAATGGGCAATGGCACAAACAAATACAATAACTAGATACAACTAAAATTAACTGTGCTTTAAGTTTAGGTATAACATATAACAGTAATATTTAGGTACAGAAATACCACAGAAACTGAATAATCTATTTAACTTTAAAATAACACTGGTTAGTCTTCGATGTATAACTAAACATTAATGACACAGACAGCAGCAGGTTTATTTAGGTTGCTGTCTCTTTAAGACCTCATGCACGGATCTAACTGTTACACAAGTTTTGTTTCTCAGCTGTTTACATTCATTTAATAGCCTGTATACCGACAATGTTTAGTATAAATCGACTGTTTACGTGAATACTCATCAAGACAGGCATTTTGACAATTTTGTATGTATTTGGCAGTTTACACGCAATAAGGAGCAACACAACTTAATTCTGCAGTCAGATGTGGCTCTATGTGCGCGCGCTTTGGGTGTGAGCTCACAGAAAGGGGTCTCACAGAGAGCGAGCAAGTACTGAATTGAGCACTTGAA